ACCACACCTGGCTTTACTTTCTGATTTTAAGAAAAGGAGTCATATTAGCACCAATTGTGTCTTGGCATTAAGTGGGGCAGGAGAATATTGGTTCCACAACCTCTCAAGAACACCAAATCCATGGACATTCAAGTCCTTTATGTAAAATAGCATAGATACAAATAAAGAGCAAAATAGAACACAAATAAATACAATGTAGGGAGAAGTTAAACTAATTCCCCAAGCTACCTATTCTGTTCTTTCAAAACTATTTTAATAAATATACTAATCTGTTTTATTTATACTAGTTTTTCTTAGTTCACTGAAAGTTTTGGGCTATTATTTGTTTCTTTTTTGTAAGAATCTTTCTGTCTATATCTTGTACTCTAAAGATAATGATACACAGTTTATTAACTACTGTTATTCTCAAATCTTGTTTTTTTCATAAAATAAAAAAGATGAAATCAAAATGTTCCCAAAGTGACTGACCATAAAAATGTTTATTAAAATTTTTTAAATTCATATTTGCATATAACCTAGGCATACATCTCCTGTATTCTTTAATCCTGAGAGTACGTATAATACCTAATACAATGTAAGTGCTATAGAAGCAGTTGTTGAATTGTTTAGGGAATAATGACAGGAAAACAAAGAATCTTCACTTGTTTACCAAATGCCATAACTTCTCCCTTGAAAAAATATATATATATAATATACTCCAACCCCACTGGGGATAGAAATCAGGACCTCACACAGGTGTGGTACCAGTGAGCTAAATCCCTGGCCTTCCTAAAAAAATTTCTGATTCACAGTTGGTTGAATACACAGACGAAAAATCCATGGATATGGAAAGTCAATTGCATACTAAAATTGGGATAAGAAAGTATATCTTTCAAAAAGATAAAAAAACAAAATAGCAATATTAAACTGATTTCCAAGTAGCTAGGGAGTAAACTGAAAAATAAGGACTCTAACGTTTTCCAAATTAATGGACATTTCCAACATTCATCAAATATAACAGCCAAACTTCCTGGACATTTTCTTGTTTTGAGGCCCATTTCTTTTATGATGTGTAGTAGTATACAACTGATTCTACCTCCAGCGGGGTACATCCAAGCACCACCATCCTCACTAACAAAGAACATGTTAATTAAGAATCTCGCAGGGGCCAGGAAGGTAACTCAGTGGCACTGCACCTGCCTGGCAAGTGTAAGATCCTGAAAGTTCAATTCTTAGTGCCAAAAAAAGAGACGAATCTAGCAAGCAACACCATTCAACAATTTCAAGTAGGACAACCTCAAATATGGATTTAAAAACAACTGTACTCTCAAAAATATTAAAATTTGCATCTGAAATTATTAGGAAATATACTGTCCACTTCGTTTTATCAATGCAGTGCATCTTTAGATGAATTCTGATAAATTTGCTTTCTCATTAGGTACTGCTTCCCTGTGATTAAGATGACATTTGGCTTGCTATTCCTTTTAGAGAGACCATAAATTCAGCATTCAGGAAGTGATGCTGGGCTCTGAGAAACAGGCTAAGAGGACACAGCACTTTCTGAAGCTGGTTCTTCCACAGCCCATATGCATACACATGCTAAAGAAACTACAGACATAGAGAAAAAATGCCAGGGAATGGTGCCAGCAAAAAGAATGAAGTAAAGAAAGAAGAAAAGGAGACTCCCTTTGAAATAACATTTAAAAAAAACACACACACAGCTTGGAGCTTTAGGGGAATCAAACTAGAAGAAAGCTTATTTTCACCAACTGCTGGGAATAGCTGAAGTGTTCTAGAAATAGTCCAACCTGGGAAAATGCATAAAGTACTCAGTAAAAACAGTACTGTTATTCTCAGCATTGTTATTTTTGTAACAAAGTTAAATTCAGCGGCCTTACTAATAATGTGACTACACATTATAAATAAATAAGAAAATTTCTTGCAAACATTCAAAGTATGTACAGAAGAGAACAAAATCTAGAATAATCTATGGTAAAATGCTACTGTAATTTTCAGTGAAAACAAATAACTAACCTAATCAAACCTTTTGAAATAAATACTAAAATAAGTACTGAACTTATAAAAATTATACACCAATACTGGAATAAAAATTGTTTTTATCGTTAAAGGTACAAGATACTAATGATGAATGTAAATATATTGTATACCTAAAACATACCAATAAAATTACTGGAAAAATTGTTTTTATCATTTAATAAGAATAAAAGCAAATTTTAGCTGTATTTTTCAAAAAATATTTGAGAGGTCAATGACAAAATAATTCAACATGTCTGAGGATAAAATGAGTACACAGGGTTAAAACAAGATGGTGCTTGGGAAGCAATACATACTTAATAGTTTTATTTATTTTATAAATCTACAGCCAAGGATTTTTGACACCAATGAGAAATAATACACTGTTCAACATTATGGGTCAAATTAAATCAATTTATTACAGCTCTAAAGTCAACTCCAAAATATATGAGCTACCTTTTTAATAATTTTTTTTGTAAAATATCTACATTAGACACTATCATAAAGTAATAATATTTGTTTCCTGAATGACCAAATTAATGGCTAAGTAGTTTTTACCTTACCAAAAATGTTTTTATCTTTTCAAAAGCAAAGTAACACAAAAGCGTCAAGTACAAACAACAAAAACATGCAGCATGACTCTTAAATTTTAAAAAAAATAGACAGATTTATGCACAGGAAAAAATGACCAGAGGAAAGCATAAAAAAAAATTGGGGGAGGGGACCAGGGATCGAACTCCGGACCTTGCACCTGTGAGGCAGGTGGCATAACCACTGAGCTAAATCCCCAGAGAAAGCATAAAAATATTAAAAATCATTACTGTTGCATCATGAGACTATGGATCATTATACTTTTCCCCTTAGTACCGGTGTTATGCATTTGGGCAAATTTTCCACTAGGGTTCCCAAGTAAATTTAAAAAAAAAAAAATTAAGCAAAGAAAAAAGTAAATGATATAGAATTTTAAAAATTTACACATAAAATTACTGATTTTTAAAAAATCTAATATGCTTTTACCCAAAAATCATGAGAAACTTTAGAACTCTTCTTTGAAATAGGCAGAAGTTCTAAATTGAAAAGCAAAAGACATATTTATGAACAAAAGGATTTTAGACTTTTCTTAGTTACTTTAGTTGGTCAACCTCTCCACCCATAGGGTCACAAAGTGGTAAATACAAAAGTTTACATTGTTACACAGACTTCTTAGTTGAGCAAATTACCACAGAACTCAAACCACCAATCAAGGGCATACAAGAGGTGGGGATGAGTGTTCCCCAGACTTAGAGAATTCAGCACTGGCCTCCAAGCCACCCTTGTTTCACAGAGGCCTATGGTGATCAGCTGCGCCTTCTGCAGAGTAATTGAACTACAGAACAGCTGGGAGGAGAAACAAGCCTATTGAAAAAAGCACCATGCCGACAATATTGTCCATATTAAACTAAGCTTTGTATTTTCTCTGAGCCAGAGTGTGGGTCATATAAAACTAAAACTGGCCCCAGAGAAGAGGAGAGTTTCTCACAGATTGCCATTTAAACCTCCAATGACCATGTTTCACAGCAGGCTCAATACATTCCAGCATGTAACTGCATTTTAATTTCCTAAAACCGCAGGATGTAAGTCTGATTTCAAATGGTGTCTGGACTGTGATATTCAATACTGATAAAACTATACAGTATTCTCTTGAAAGTTTCAAAGACTCAGCACTGAAAAAGAACCTTCATTTTTCTTCGAAGCACTATTCTCAAAGAAATTTACCCTGAGTTTTCCATGAGTTCTAAACAAAGAATAATAGAAGCTAGAGCTGCTGTCATGAGGAATGTAACTTACTAGATTACAGGAACAGAACAAGCTATATATTTATCACTCACCAGGATACAGTGTGTCCTTGACAAAACAATCAACATAAGATTTTAAATCTTCTTTGCCATGAAATGTCCATTAGTGATTTTGGAAAATAATTTTAAAATTTATTAACATAATGAATATTTACTTCCATTCAGTGCATGAAAATTATTCAGTCACCTCAATATAAAACAGAGAATTTGTGATCTCTTTGATCTTCACATATTATATAAGAAAAGAAGCAAACTTTAAAACAGATTAAGAAGGAGGGCCAGAGATTAAGCTCAGTGATACCGCTGCCTGCCTCCCAAGTTCAAGGTACTGAGCTGGATCCCCAGCACAAAAAAAAAAAAAAAAAAAAAAAAAAAAAAAAAAAGATTAAGAGCGAAAACAGATAAACCTGTGTTATACACGTAGGCATTAGAGACAAATTTCTGGTCATAATACTATTCAACTGGAAGGAACTTATAAAGATAATGTGAATGTGAAATAATTTGATAAAATGTTCAGCAGTTTTTGCCACAAGGGCTTGGCTCTGATATAACCGGGAGAAAAGGAAGAAAATTTTTTTGTTTTTGTTCTCAACAGAGAGTAGAGTGAATAGGTATAAGCCTTCTTCTCTGACACTACTGTCTTTGACTACTGACTTGATTCCAAAACTGATTGAGAAATATAATGTTTGTTTTCAAGTAACAGTATCTGATCAATTCTGAGATATTTCTCAGAAATAATGCATTCTGATTAATAGTTTGAGGTACAAGAATGATAAGCCCTGGCCTACATATCTGAAAACTTGGAGCCAACTCCAGAGCACGTGGCATGTGTGGCAGCTGGGCCCCAGGCTGCTCTTCACCAGAGAAGGTATCACCACGGGTATGCAGTATCATTCTTGATTTGATTTTTCTTTTCTTTTCTTTTGGTACTGGGGATAGAACTCAGCTAAACCCCCAGTTTCTTAATTGTCTGCCAAACTATGAGTGTGTATGGGCATGTATGACGTTTTCCCCTGCTTTACACACACAAGTGCACATGTATACATGCACACTCTACAACAGATAAAGCGACCGCTGCAAAGTGACACAACACACACATGGATAGATCAAATGAAGCTAACAATGGCCAGATTAGCACGGCTCCAAACATACCTGCTTCTGGGTCCTGGTTGAAACGGCAATACTTGGAGTTTTCAAGTGAAGGAAGGCACTGCTCAATGGGTACCCAAACATACGTCTCAGGACACAACAAATCAGAAGGTCTGTATTGACCCTACAAGAGAAGTGAAGAAAAAGGCACAGCATTACTAACACAGTAATATATATATATATATAT